GAAATTTCAAAGCTGCAAATTTATACCAATAACACACATAAAATTACGATATTTTACTTGCAGAAGCTACATAATTTATAGAAGGTTCTTCTGAAGTTTCAAACTATTTCATGCAATAGAGTTTTTTGCAATGCAATAAAATAAATAATAAAACAGATGTGTCGAATGGATGTACTCAGATCTAACACATTAAAACCAGTGGGATTCTCCCAGAATATTGAGACATTCATCCATGTGTTACCAAAATCACCTTTTTGAACACCTCGGTCCACACAGAATTTTTCCATATCTCTGTGGTATTCTCATGTAATCTAATTTCTGCACAAGTATCAGGTTCGTTTTATAATGAGAGGACAGGATAAACAAAATTGAAGCAAATATGAACTTAGTTAAATGACAAACGTTTTAGTTAAAAAATAATCAGACTGAGCACTCATTGTATGTAAAATAAAGGAAGAAAACACAGCGTGAGTACTTGTGTGGATACAGAACAGTTGCCCTCCTACTGAATAAAACAACATTTATTACCTCACAATATGTTTTTCCATTGCTCAGTTCATTTCTCGAACTCAGTAGAAATGGATGTAAATCTATTCTGCTTAAAACTGATGTTCATGTTAAAATGTAACCACAGTATTACCATGTATTACCAGGTGACTGGTCATTCATGTACAATGAAAAAAAGGTTTAATTTTAGATATAATCAGTTCAGCCAATGAAGGATATTGCTGTCAAAGAGCTATTTCCACATAGTGTGTGAAGTTGCAACATTCATACGAGCAGAGTAATTTCTGCATTACCTTTTTTATAAAAATGCTTTAAAAAATTGTATCTTTTCGAGTTCTCACCGTTAGTCTAATCTGAAATTATTTGCACAATCTCCTACTGGTGATGCAAGATGTACTAGCAACTCTGTATTTGCATGTTAATGTAATCCGGGTTAAATAACCCTAGATGCATGCTAGTTTTGGATAATTCTCCAACATGCACTGTACCATCATTCTTTAAAAAATAACTATTATTTGTTCTTCATAATTATAACCAGAAACAGAAAGTACTTTGTTCTTGTTGAGATTAAAAGTGTGGCTTGGTTTTTAAAACAAAACGATATAACTTTGATTCTCAAGCATCAATCAATTCAAGTACAGCATTACCTAGTGGTGTTATCGTGTTCACAAAACGTTACAAACATCACTTGTGTATTAGACGTAACTGTAACGTTATTGTTTATATTCAACTGCTCTAGTGCATTTTACCATACATTTTACGTTTTCACTACGGAGCTGCAGTTTACTTGGTACAGGATATATTTACCGATAACTTCTATAGGGCATTCAAAATGCTAATACTCAAAGCATGGTTTGTAATAATTGCTTCTGCAAGTTCAGTGACGGAAACAACAGTGATGCATAGATGAACTTCTCCATTACTGTCCAAAATGGTGGTTTACATGGTAATAACTGATACTTTGCAAAAACAAAGCTATTTTGGCTGCTTCTGCATTAACTAAATAATCTTGTGGTACAGACTAGTACCATGTATTAGCTAACCTCTGAATTGATACGTATTTTCTTTTGAAATTTGTTTTCTTTTCCTTTTTTTTCAGTCCAATTTGGATGCAGAGAGTTGCTGAATTAAACAACATTATTTTTCCTTGCTCTAGCTGCAAATGGGACTACGATACACTAATTGTTCACTAAGCATGTTTTTTTACAGAAAAGATAGTTGTAAAATTCAAAAGGTCTGGTTTGTTTTGAATTTCTTGCAAAGCTACAAGAGGGCTATTGGCACTAGCCATCCTTAATTTAACAGTGATATACTAGAGGGAAAACAGCTAGTCAATATCACTCGCTGCAAACTCTTGGGCTACTATTTTACCAATATATAGTGGGATTGAATATTACATTATAATGCCCCAATGGCTGAAAGGGCGAACATTTTCAGTGATGGGATTTAAACCCGCAGAGTCGAGCGCCATAAGCACCAGCCCCCCCCCCCCCCCATCAAAAAAGGTGCTCACTGGTATCGTTAGAGATAACTGATTTTCAATGAAGACTGACTGTAGGATTTGATTATGTGTAAAAAAATTTATTTTCAAAGAAAGTTTTTGCTGCAAGTTGCTAATTCATCTTTCTATTCATCAGGAATACTGTAACCACTTACGATTTTATTTTAGTGTAAATATTATCTAGATTTGTTTCAGCATTTATGTTCTATGAGTTAAAAATGGGAAACCTGTTTTTTAAATACTTTTAATGAAACTGAGTGTGTAATACGATCAAGCAGTTACAATTTCAGATATCTGTTGCCAGATAGTAGCGAGGTTATGGTATGCAAATACTTTGGCTACAAATCTTTCAGGACATATAAAATTAATAAATCTTTATGCCAATAACCTTAAGCTCAGATTGGCTATACTTAAACGTTCTATGCAAAGAAGTTGGAACCATCAGCTGTGAATAATGTTAAACGTACCCTCAGACGAATGGTTATCAGTCGTTCACAGGCTTTTCCAAAATGCAAGTCATTGATGCACAATGCCACAGCCATATGAGAAAACAAGTGAGGTAGGACCAGTAGGTTGTCTGCAGACTAAAAAGTTTGAGAACCACTGCCTAAAGCAATCACTTATGGTAAGGACTAGTGCAAGTGTGTCTGCTTTTATATGTGGCCACTACGCTAGATGAGTCAGTTAATTTTACAACATAGAGAATTGGGAACACATGCAGGAGAGGAACAGGAAACCTGCTTTCTTTTTTCTTTGGTAACAAGACTAGTCTCTTGATGTGACTGATATGATATTTTGAGTATTCTGAAAAATAGTTCCAAGCCAATCTAACACTAAAGGAGAATTGTTGAGTGTACTTATCAATCTTACTTCGTGGTGTTGCTAATGGTTGCAGGACTTTGAACACATAAATGAAGTGTTGTACACTTTTACTATTGAATGGCACCATAAACAAAATGTCACACCATCGATTTCTTGTAATAAAGCAGTCTCAAAGATACATACAATAACATGACTAGGACGTTCAGAATGTATACACCATACTCCAACAATTTGTCAAGTTGTATCTTTTGTTCAAAAAGTTAAACTTTATTGATCATAAAATAACAAAATGTAAACTACAATTGTGTTATTACATTTGTACTAATAAAAAAACCCACAGAACCTTTTACTTATGATAATCAATTAACCTAGTATATGGTCTTTAATATATCTATATACACATATTTAAAAGCTTTAAAAACGTGTAGATTTAAACAACTGAAATACATTTTATTATTTCACCCACCACCCAAGCATGACATTTAACAAATTATACAGTCTGGAATGTAAGGATCATTTTTATTTTCTTAAGTATATCAAACTCAGTTTTGGTGATTAAACTGGATTTAAAATGGACTAGACCAATTAGAATATGTTATAAATACTTAAGATATACATTTAAAGTTACTTTAGAAAGGTTTTATAACTATGTGCTATATGTATTCTACTTTTCAAAAGTTTTAACAGTGTAGCAAAACAAACCAATCCATATTATTATTCACAGTAAAATATATCAGTTACAAATTATTTAGGTTTGGTAAGGACAATATATACACTTTGTTTTAGATTGATCAAATACTTAATCCAAAACTATAAAAATATTTTTAATCAAAATCTTTTGTTAAAGTATTTTAGAAATTAGCATTTATTAAAATACTTTAATTTTTTTTCTTATTTGGATGTAAATTATAAATTACTTCCCTAATTTTATTCCCAAATGTAACAATTAGTATTTTTATCTTTTTCATGCACAGCATGAGAAAAAAAAAAAAAAAGGTTAACTTGTCTTTCAAATTGGGTTTTTGAGGTAAACTTACTGAGTAAAGCAGGGGTAATTTCTGTTTTAATTCTCAGTCAGTGTGTGAATAAATAACAACAGTAACAACATAGATGGAAAAAAAGTTATGTTTTACCCACTGATGACCCTTAGAAAGGCAAAGTTTGACTGCAATATAAAACTGAAATAGATCCAAGGCATATTAGAAATACTGTCAGTAACTTAAGATTTCCAATACTTTTCTAAATGGAAAGCATTAAGAAAACTACAAATAAGAAGCAATCTTGAAATCACATACTGAGAAGCATAAAAGGTTTGCCAATAAGAACTTTATATATATTGAAAATAATGCAAATAATTTTGAAACACGTGTATGTTAACATAATTTTAAATATAATAAAACTATAATCATATACTTACTTTTTGTGAAAATATTTTGTTTTTTCAAACTTACTTATGACTGTAAGAATATTAAAATTTAACTCAAGATATTTATATGAGAAAAGTAAGTTCAACATAACATGTCAGAGCTATATGGTACTTGGAAAACAACTAAAAACAAAAACAAAACTAAAGTATCAAAATCTAAGAAATTCAACAAGCTGAGTGCTTTTGAAAGGAAGAATTACCTTCAGAAAATATTTGTGTTAGTGGGTTTCTCTGGAATGTCAAAAACAGTAAAAGAAAAAAATATATAATATATAACATTATTAATTACAATTGTAGAGTATAATTTTCATATTTTCAACAAATATTTTATGATTAATCCTAAAAAAATACAGAAAGCACAAAAATAATTTGTCATTTATTACAAAAGATGCTATTTTCAATTTACAAACTTATATGAACATTGTATTTGCTCTTCTACAAATCTTTTTCAGAAATTAGCTGTATCTACAGAAAGATATTTCATTTACCATCAAAAATCCTTTCTTTTAGGAGCCACACAGGCTTGTTACATATTCATAAATCTATACAGATTTTTTTTTTATATATTAATGTTTTGGTCTTTTGTTTTCTAGTTATTCCGTTATAAAATTAAAGCTCT